AGCAGCAACAGCAACAGCAGCAGCAAATGCTTCTGCTGCTGCTGCTGCTGTAAAAGAAACAAAGAAAGAAAAAGAAAAGAAAGAAAGAAGACAGCATTATTTTATTTTATTATTTTGTTTGTTTACCTACAACTATATTTTGTTAACTATATTATACTATATATAATATATTATTAAATAATAATATATTATAATAATATATTATATATAATATATTATTAATATTAATATTTTATAATAATTATTTATATTAATAACAATAATAATAATATTGTTATATATCTACTCTCTCTGTGTATCCCTATAAAGATATTCAGGTGTATATACAGCAAAGAGAGTATAAAAAAACAAATAAGAAAAGAGAAAAAGAGAACTAATAACAAAAGAGAAATAAAAAAAAGATAAAAAAGAGTTTATTTATAACTAAATTCCTTTATAGGAAGAATTAATTATATATTTATATATAAAAGAAAATAAATAAATATTTATTATATTTTTCCTGTTTTTCCTTTATATACAGGAAAATAATATACAAGAAATTATTTATTTCTTTTATATATAAATAATAAAACAAAAAACTAAGGAAAATATTTATTATTTACTATTTATTTATTTATTATTTATTTATTATTTATTTATTTACTATTTATTATTTATTATTTATTATTTTAGTACATCTGTGCCTCTATATTAAGAAGGCATAGATAGTTATTCTTATATATATATATATATATATATATATTATTTATCTATTTATTTATTTATTTATTTATTTATTTAGTAGTGTACACCGAATCCCGCAGTTTGTTCATAATAGGAGTATTTTTCTTTTTTTCTTTTTTTCTTTTTTTTCTTTTCTTCTCTTAATTCATCTATTTCTTCTTCTTTTTCTTCTTCTTTTTCTTCTATTTCTTTATCCCCTTCTTCTTGTTCCTCTTCTCTTTTTCTTTTTTCTTTATGTTTTTTTTCTTTATGTTTCTTTTGTTTACTAGGAACAACAACTAGACAACTATAATCATTATTTTCTTCTTTTTCTTCTTTTTCTTCTTCTTCTTCCTCTGCTGCTGTAGATGAATTATCTAAATAATATTCCTTTTCTTTTTCTTTCTTCTTTTTCTTCTTTTTTCTTCTTTTTTCTCTTGTTAATTCATCTATAGTAAGCTGATGCTCTCCTTCTTCCTCCTCCTCTTTTCTTTCTTCTTCTTTTTCTTCTCCCTCCTCCTCCATCCTATTTGCTATTTTATGTTTCTTTTTTTCTTTTTTCTTTTTGTGTACTATTTCTTCTCCTTCTTCTTCTCCTCCTCTTTCTCCTCCATCTTTCCCCTCTTCTTCCCTTTCTTCTTCTTGTTCCTCCTCCTGTTGGTATTCTGTCTCTATTTCTTCTTCATTATTTTCTTCTTGTATATAATTATCCATTTCTCTATTTTTATGTTTTTTTTTCTTTTTTTCCTTCTTTTTTTCTTTATTTTCTTGTATTGTTTCCTCTATTAGATGTGATGGTAATCCATCAGTAAATGAATTCTCTAATAGAGCAGCAACTGCAAGTTCTTCTGCATTTTCTTCATCTGCTGCTGCTGCTGCTGCTGCTGCTGCAGCTAATAATAACGGATCATTTTCTCTTGCTGCTGCTTCTGCTGCTTGCTGCTGCTCATCTTGTATATAACGAGGACAACCACGAGGAGGAGCATTAAGAGGACACGCCCTTATTTGTGTTAATCTTTCCTTAAGACGTGCTAATTCTTTTGCTGCTGTTGCTCTCCTTTTTCTCCTCATTTTCTTCTTTAATTTATCCTCTGACCAATTTTTTTCTTTTCCTTTTTTTTTTATTTCCTCCTCAAGATTCTGCTGTACGTACACCGGAAGTGCAGCACGAAGTAGTCTTGCTGCATCTTTTTTTCTTGTCTTATTTAGACGATATTCGTGCTGCTGCAGCAGACGAGGCACTGCTACCTCTATAGGTACTCCTTCTTCCCTCATTATACTTCCTGCTGCTTCCTTTAATACAGATAGCTGTAGGGAAGCAGGAACAAAAGGAAGAATATCTAACCATTCAATACCTCGTAGACCAGGAGGTAGCTGCTGCTGCTGCTGCAGCAGCAAACGACCAAGGCACCGTAATACATGACGCAGCACAACAGGACGAGGATTTGCTTGCATGCGTTTATATAATTCCTCAGGTAATATAACTAAATTATATACACAACGTAAGCATGCATGCGATTTTAGGGGAAAAGTTTCCTCCCTTATTCGTTGCCATGGTATACCGAAGCAAGGAAGCTCCTCTCCTGTCTTCTGCTGCACCTCCTGCAGCAGCAGCACCTTCTCCTCTGTATTTAATCTAGTAGCAGCAACAACAGCAGCAGTATTTACTGCAGCAAGATTAGCTTCTTCTCCTTCTCCTTTTCCTGCTGCTGCTGCTGCTGCTGCTGCTTTATCCTCTAATGCATGCAGTAACTCTGCCTCTAATTCATGTAGACGGGGCTGCACAGTTCGCCATCTATCGCATACATCTGCTGGTCTCCTATTCAATATATTTCCTATCTTTACCCATCTTCCTCTTAGGGAGGAAGGAAAACGTCTAGCTAGCAGCAGCAGCTGATGCGTCTCCTCCTTAGACCAGACTCCTCTCTTAACACTTCCTGTTATACGACGACGAATATATCCATAAACAGACACAAAGGGTCTATCAGGAAGGCAACGAGCAATTGCCTGAAAACGGCCAGCACTTTTCTTACCTAGATTCCCTGTTAAACTTTGTACAGCCTCCTCTAATGTACTAAATCCTTCCCTCTGCATATATTGATCTAATGCTTCTTCTATTATTAACTTCTCCTCTGTTGTAAATGGTCCTTTACGATAGTTTATACCACTACGTGCATGCAAACGCCACAGACCCTTTGCACCAGGACCCGCAAGCTCCAATAGTTGCAGCTGATCCGCAGAAAATGTTTCTTCTCCTTTTGTCACCACTTGAGAGGAACCAAAAGGAAGCAAAGAAGGGGCAAGAGCAGGTACATACACCGGAGCTTCCTTAGGGATCAGCACACGTTCATCTTTTGGAGGTTTCCCAGATGATGATTTTTTACGCTCTTTCTTGCTCTTTACTTTGCCACTCTTTGAAGAAATCGGAAGATATTCAGAGGAAATTCCCTCAGAAGAGAGAATACCAGCGGATTCCGCTGGTTGCTCCGAGTTGCAAACCGCGTCATTTGACTCGGGTTCAACTTTTACGGTTAACCTCTTGAGCCACTCTTGCGGAGTATCTCCGCAACTGTTGTCTTCTCTTGAGTCCGAAACCATCGACAAACTCAAAACTAATGATAAAAATAACCTAAAATATATAAGTAAAACAAATTACCCTCGGCAACAACCGGAAGGCAATGCCAGACCGTAGGCAGAAACCCACGGCATTTCCGGTGTATATGCAGCTACAGCCATCAAGCTGCAGCCTACGTGAGGCGTTTCTTCAAACAGAAACAAAGGAATTTATTAGTGAAAGAGATAAACATTCTGCAGAAGTCCAATATTCAAAGGTAACAAGAACAAGAACAATCGTTAACTATGTGCAAGCCCCAACTCCCATTCACAGGCCAAACGGAGGCGTTAAAAGGGACGATCCGGGAACAAAATCAATCGAATAGCCCTTTTAGTTTATAATAATTGCAAACAACTAAAAATAATTTGCTAAAAATAGGAGTGTTTGATGTTTCAATGCAGTTTCTTCCCTTACATACAAACATCCTTGGGGCTGTCTATGCAAGATGGGGGGTGTTCGTGTATTCAACCCCTTCCTGTTACTTTTTAGTGGTAGCAAATGGTTTTAGATCGTACAAAATGTTTGTTTAATTAAGAGGGAATATCCAATAAAAGAAAATTGGAAGAATATCAATAAACAACGAAGAACCGTGCTACGCAGCCGACGAGATGGTTTGGTATCGAGGGTGTTGTATAGAGGGAATACAGGGGAAAAAGGAAAGAAATGTTCAATTGTTTAGTTTATAATGCTATCTAACATGTTTTATTCCTGAATATGGACTATAATGTAGCATTTAAGTCATTATTGCCCTCCTTCCTCTTAGGTTTCCCCCTCATAGGAACCTCGATATGTACCAATCAGTGTCTTATATTCTCTTCGTTAGCTGTTTAGCCTATTAGATAGCAACAGATAGCAGCAACTAAATATTATATAAATTCGCTAAGGAGTATTTAATAAATAAATGCATTAAAGTAGATCATTGTTTTCTAACGAGACGGTTGCATGCATCATCATGACTAATTGTTTATAAAATAGTATGTACGGAACAAATTACCTCAAAACGCTCTTAGCCCAATTCATCTATGAGAGGGAGAGGGGAGGGATGAATTAAGGAGAGTTGCTGTTGCAGTCTATATGATATAATTTGCTTCTCTCGATTCCTCATGCTCATCAGCTAATAGGGAGGAAAACATATTCTTTTCTTTATTCTTAGTAGACACGAAGAGGAGGGGCAGATAATGGTGAATGGCAAAGAGAGAGAGAGAGAGAAGAGGAAAATAAATATCTTCTTTTAATTCATATATTTATTGTACTTTCATTGTACTACAGCTCTTACGACTTTCCTCTCGCTACTTTCTTTTCTTCTTAGCTCTTAGCAGAACAAAGGCAACAAACAAAAGAAACTCCTAATAAAGTCTTCCTTTTCTCTTGCCTCCTATGACGATGCTTAGAAGTACGGCATTGTTTATTGTTAGTTTTTTATTGGCAAATAAAGTATAATATTTAATACTTCTTTATTGCATGCACTTAGCGATACGAATGCTCATTGATTCTCCTTCGCTAGGTTCGTACTACAAGGTGCTATATAATAATAATATAAATAATCATATATAGTGTAATATTTGTTTGTGTGTATATCCTTATAAGGGTGTTTATAATCTTGTATATAATACAAATGTATTTAATATATTCATGCACTGTATTATTACTTTATGCAAGTTTGTACAACCAATGGCTATGGAGAGGACAAACAACTTTGCCTCCTGTATACAGAGAGAGCATTGCATGCGTCGCCATTTTCTCACTAAATTAACCATTTATTTTTACTTATCTACGCAAGTTGATGATTCTTTTCTTACTTTTGCAGTTATTATTGCCTACAAGCAGTAGCAGCATCTGCTGCTGCTGCCTGTATGCATTTATAACTTCTTCCCCCACAGGGGTGGCAACCGAAAGATAATAACGAGAAAGAGAAAAAAGGAGACATTTTCTTCTTTATCCGTAGCCACACCTACAAAGCGGGCACTATATATAAATGCATATTTTTGTGTTACTCTTAGCTTTACTTTTATGTGCAGTAGGCATCAACAAATTCGCCAATGTAGCTTTACAGAAACTAGTTAAGCATTGATAAACTACTGCAAGTATATATATGTAAGAAACAAATGGGGATGCATGCGCATATAACGAAATCTAAGGTTCAAGAGAGAGTCCGTACACCCGATGTGCAGTAACACCCTTATTATGCACAAAATAAAGGGGAAAATCAGGAAAAATGCCAACTATGACTACTCATCGGTTTAATTTGCTCTCTGTTGGCTATAAGTTGACAAGCCTGTCAATAAGAACAACTGAATTCAGTTTCGTGCCTCACAAGGAAGAGAAGTGGCTACATATTGCCATCAGGGCACGGCAGTGCACGGCGTAGAGAATAAAAGGTGATTGATAATATTGAATACGAATTGTATTGACATAATCATTTAAAAGAAGAGGTAAATAATATTCCATTTCCTCTTTTGTGCAACTGCGGATATGCACGGCAAGTGGCATCCCCTTGAGCATCTGTTGTCTGCCTGCCTGCGCGCCTCTGCAGGGAATAATATCATACTGCGACGCGATGCGTTGTAGACCAATTGCTTATTTTTCAATTGGAACAAGAAACAATTGTTTAAATCTATTTAGGGGTAGTTTTGAAGAGAAGAAAGCGGTAGACAACTCCCCAAAGGTAGGCACCCGGGGGCACGCCGTCGTGTGGGGGAGAAGCATTCATGTTCTAGAGAGCTAATCTATTCGTTTTTCTTTGATGGTTTGTTTCATTTCATTGATTTGTACGGGTAAACTATTCAATGAAATTAAAGCATCTAAGTTGTAGTATTAAGTAGACTTGTGGCTGCTGCCGGGGTCTTTCTTCCCGCCGCATGCACGTGAGAGAAACTCGTCGTGCGCAGCAGCAGCAGCTGACAGCTGAACTAGGTTTGTGGCTTTTCCCCAAAGCGGCGTCAGCTTGGGTATTTGCGCAGACGTTCGTTTCGTACCATTTCAGCTCATGGACAGCTGAAAGGCGGAGCTGCAGAGCTCTCTACCTCCTCCCCAGGAGCAGCGGCCGGCCGCCTCGAATTGGTGAATAAGGGTACGGCGATATTGTTGTACTTTCGGGGGATATCTTTGCTTGTTCTTCATTGGGCTTCTTTAAAAAGGTGCTTTCGCTGCGGTGTATACACGCTTGCATCACGGATGCTCAAGAGCTGCCCCCTTCTTTTCTGCTGGGGCTGTAGAACCTGATCTATATATCTGCGGCTACAGCAGCAGCACTCCATTTACGCCAAGTCCCTTGTTTTTTTTCCTTCTCCTAATTTACAATGGAGAACGGGGACAGCCGTGGCCGCTCATCTGGCGGTAGCGGCAGCGGCAGCAACAGCAACAGCAACAGCAACAACACGGGTAGTCAAGCTCCCTTAACATCGAAAGGTGCCTTCGACTCTCACCTTTACGGAGAAACTCCCGTTCATCAGTATCTTTCTGAAATTCCTGCAGAAGATGAACAGCCAACTCCCCTTGGTGGTGTATTTGGTGAGGATGCTCACCAATCAAGAGGGGGTGGTGTCGACTCGGTTACCCGTCTAGTAGAGAATGAGAGACGTGCCATGCTTGCTTCCTCTGGTCCTGATGCAGCAGATGCAGCAGCACTGTTGGAGAAAAGAGCAATTGCTGCTAGAGAGGATATGTATAGGAGGCAGAGATTTCAACGTGCGCTGTCACCAGAGAGGCAGGATCCTTTTGCTGCTGATGGAGGAAGGAGAGCAGATGTAAGCGCAAGAAGCTATGCAGATGTTATGGTGGAGCAGCAACTAGATAGGGAGAAACAAGCAGCAGTTAAACAAATTCGAAAGCTGCAGGAGGATGCGGCTATAGCACAACAACTGCTGCAGCAAAGGCAGCAGGAGGAAGCAGCAGGTGGTGCTGCTGCTGGCAAACGAGGAAGGTGGGATGGAGAGCGCCAGCTGACGGAGGCAGAACGCATGACACTGCAGCAACAGCAACAGCAACAGGGAGCAGAGGGTGCAGCAGCAGCAGCAGCAAGTCTTGCTAGCAGATGGGATACTCCCCTGCAAGCCGGCGGACAGGCACCCGGGTGGGGCGACACCCCAATTGCTGCAGGAGGAGATGCAGCAGCAGAAACGGCAGAACAAAAACCTAAGAAAAGAAGCAGATGGGACGCAACACCCGCGCAAGGAGGCACCGGACAGGTAATCTAATATTACCGTGCATGCACGCATGCATGCATGAATTGTATTATTTCATATGCATGCATGCGTGCGTGCATGCATGCATAACCCCTCTTTTTCTTTCTCTCCCTTTACTTGGTGTCATTTTTTATTTGTCCCTTTATTTGTTTTTATATAGGCCTATACAAGCAAAGATATGTGTTGCTCCTCATATGAATAAGTATATGTTTCCTTCCTTTTGTTTTGCTACAGGAAACACCTACCCCCGGTCAATGGGGAGCAACACCGTTAGTAGCAGGTGTAGGAGGGCAGACCCCATTAGCAATGAAGAAGAAGAGCCGATGGGATGCGACTCCCGTTCCTGGAGGAGACGAGGGATCGGGGGTGGGGTCAGCAATGGCTACTCCTCTTACAGGCGCAAGATTAGCTGATGGATCCGATGCTGGTCTCGCTACACCAGGACTCTCACAGACACCAGGAGCTACACCTATGACATCAGGACTCACACCAGGAGCTACACCTCTTGCTATGACAGGTATAACGAACTTGCTGCTGCTGTTCTTGCTGCTGTCGTTGCTGCTTTTGCTGCTGTTGCTGTTGCTGTTTCTTTGTGGGGGGAAGAAAGAGAGGAGGAGCTGCTGCTGTGTTCTTGTTTTTGTTTTTTTCCTTTTCTTAGGTCTTGGTGCCACTCCTATGACACCTGGTACACCTTTGCAGACGCCGGAGCAGCTGCTTGCTTTGCGGCTGCAGCAGGAGTTTGATGAGAGAAATAGATATTTAACGGATGAGGAATTGGACAGGATTATGCCGACAGAAGGTTATGAAATTGTACAACCTCCTAGTGATTATAATCCCCCTCCTACATCAGCTGCTGTCGCTGCAGCAAGAGCGAGGCAGCAAGCATTAGCATCATCAGGAATGGGATCTGCAACTCCAGGTGTATCTGCAGCTACACCATTAGGTGTTACACCTATGTACGTCATGCCTGAAGAAGGAGGCATATCCGTTAAGGCTGTAGATCCCACAGGTTCTCTCTTAGATCCTCAAGGATTAGGAGATGCATCAGGAGGCGTACAAATGAAAGCTGAAGATTTCCATTTCTTCTCGAAACTCTTCGAAGAAAAATCAGAAGATCAAATGACACAAGAGGTAATTCATAACAAAATTATTGCATGCATGCATGCAGATAATCACCACTGGATGAGTAGTATATAGGACTATATTGCCTGTACAATTGATTGTAAGTCACTCGGGTGTACATACAGTTGCTTAAATTGAACAGGGGAAGTTCATATATACGTTCCTTGCTGTTTTGTGTGTATGGTGATTAAATATAATTACAGGAAGTGAAGGAGAAGAAGATTCAACTTCTGCTGCTGAAGATTAAGAACGGAACTCCGCCTCTCCGTCGCTCTGCTTTGCGTATTTTGACGGATAAGGCAAAAGAGTTTGGTGCTGCTGCGCTATTTAACCAAATATTGCCATTAATGATGCAGACGACTCTTGAAGATCAGGTGGGGGAGCATTGCTAATCGGGGTATATGCACAGTTCGATGGGGAATGTTTAGCATCTTGCTTTGTGTTATCTTGTGCCATTGAACCATAACTTTCTTTTGCGCCTTTTGTGGTGCATTTATCTACAGGAACGCCATTTGCTGGTGAAGGTTATAGATCGCGTGTTATATAAACTGGACGATTTGGTGCGACCTTATGCCCATAAAATATTAGTGGTTATTGAGCCTCTTTTAATTGATGAAGATTATTATGCCCGTATTGAAGGCAGAGAAATCATCAGTAACCTTGCAAAGGCTGCAGGACTGGCGACTATGATCGCCACTATGCGTCCTGATATTGACCATCCAGACGAATACGTGCGAAATACAACCGCCAGGTACATTTTTATCTTGTTTTCTTCCTTATGGGTCTTGTTTCTGTTTTTTTTATGGGGTTCGTTTTTATATTGGCGGGGATTAGGTGCTCGTAGGTGATGGAGTGTAATGGTCGCTTGAGCGATCTTTAGGTGTGTGCTGAGGGCGGCATTACTTGTGACTACCCTAACTACTATGCCCCGTAGAAAGTCTGCTTGTGCAACAAACATAGTGTAGAGCACCGTGTATCGAAGGGGGCATCGACCACAACAGAGTGTACAGAGGCATACGTGTTGTAATGGTTTAAGTTAAGCATGGGATGTTATTGTTTATGTGTGTGTCTGCAGAGCGTTCGCTGTGGTGGCGTCTGCATTGGGGGTCCCATCTTTGTTGCTGTTCTTGAAGGCAGTTTGTCAGAGCAAGAAATCTTGGCAGGCTCGTCATACGGGGATAAAGATTATTCAGCAAATAGCCATTCTATTGGGTTGTGGAGTATTGCCTCATTTAAGACAATTTGTTGAAATTATTCAACATGGACTGGATGATCCAGTGTTGAAGATTAAGACTGTTACTGCTTTGGCGTTAGCCGCGCTAGCAGAGGCAGCAGCTCCCTATGGTATTGAGGCTTTCGATTGCGTGCTGCGTCCATTATGGAAGGGTATTGGCGAAATAAAAGGTAAAAGTTTGGCGGCTTACTTGAAAGCTATCGGGTCTATTATACCTCTTATGGATGCCTACCATGCCAGCTACTATACTCGAGAAGTTATGGTTATGTTGGTGCGTGAGTTCGAAACCAACGATGAGGAAATGAAAAAGATTGTCTTAAGAGTCGTCAAACAGTGCGTAGCGACAGAGGGTGTAGAAGGTGAATATATCCGCACCGATATTATACCCCCTTTCTTCTCCAAGATGTGGCTCGTCAGAAATGCCCTAGATCGTCGCACAGCGAAACTGTTGACAGAAACCGCGACTGAATTGGCTTCTAAGGCTGGCGGTGCGCATGTGATTAAGTTTATTGTGGATGACTTGAAGGATCCGAGTGAACCCTTCAGGAAAGTAACACTTGAAACCATTGAACAAATAATTGTTAACGGTGGTGTTGCGGATATCGATTTGAGGCTGGAGGAGCAGCTGATTGATGGGCTGTTATATGCATTCCAAGAACAAACCACAGAGGATACTGCGGTGCTTCTTAATGGATTTTCAACAATTGTAAACGCCTTGAGCACACGCGTGAAACCCTACTTACCACAGATTTGTGGTGTTATTCGTTGGAGGCTGAACACGCCTTCGGCCAAGCTGCGACAACAGGCAGCAGACCTCGTCTCGCGTATTGCCACGGTAATGTTCAAGAGTGGCGAAGAGCAAATGTTGGGGCACTTGGGTCTGTTCCTTTACGAGTACTTGGGGGAGGAATACCCCGACGTGTTGGGAAGCATTCTGTGCGCATTGAAGGCAATAGTGAACGTGATTGGTATGAACAAAATGACGCCGCCTATCAAGGATTTGCTGCCGCGTTTGACGCCTATTCTTAAGAACAGGCACGAGAAAGTGCAGGAGAACCTTATCGACCTTATTGGGCGTATTGCGGACCGTGGAGGCGATTTGGTGTCGCCAAAAGAGTGGGATAGGATATGTTTTGATCTTTTAGACCTACTGCGTGCGCAGAAAAAGAGTATTAGAAGAGCTACTGTGAACACATTCGGCTACATAGCCAGAACCATCGGACCTCAGGATGTGCTGGCCACTCTCCTTAACAATTTGAAGATGCAAGAACGCCAGCTGCGCCTGTGCACGACGATTGCCATTGCCATTGTGGCAGAAACATGTCTACCTTATTCTGTGCTGCCTGCACTCATCAACGAGTATCGTGTGCCCGAACTCAATATTCAAAACGGTGTGCTCAAGACCCTTAGCTTTATGTTTGAATACATTGGAGAAATGGCCAAAGACTATATCTACACTGTCACACCGCTTCTGGAAGATGCTCTCATGGACAGAGATCTGGTCCACAGACAAACAGCAGCCTGGGCGTGCAAGCACCTTGCACTAGGTAAGTTCCTTTTCATTTGAGCCCTCAGTTTGTGGATTTTGCGAGCGTATGTGTACTGGGAAGTTGATAATAATAGCAGCATCGTTACATTGGCCTCCGGCGTATGCAACAGCAACTCCTTGTTTGTGCCGAAAAGCATAAGAGGTCGGATGCCTCTGTTATGTTCTCCTCAGGGGTTCACGGACTTAGCTGCGAAGATGCTCTGACTCATTTGTTTAACTACGTCTGGCCTAACATTTTCGAAGTCTCGGCACACATGGTTCAAGTGAGTCTTTTCTCTATATTTGCTGCCCATTGGAGGGATTCGCGGTGTACGTTTAGTTCAATCAATCTACGGAGAGTGCTTTCCGAAGTCATTGTTTCGTTTCCTGTGTTTCATTTATCTTCAGGCTTTTTTCGACGCCGTGGACGGCATGCGCGTTGCCATCGGGCCCGGCGTCGTATTTCGGTACATCATTCTCGGTTTGTTTCATCCAGCACGCAAGGTAGGCCTGTATATCACGGCATTTGTTTTGTGAAGCCGGGGCCCAGTTTCTTGTATGCTGCCGAAACTATTAGTGCTAGAAAACATGTATTCTAAGACTGTGCTTATCTTTTTGAAGTAACAGCACCGTCGTTGCATGCGTTCTGAGATCAATGTGCATGCAGACAGGGAAGATATATTCACGTTTATGCATATTCTGACATTTGTTCTTCTGCGCAGGTGCGCGAGGTGTATTGGAGAGTGTACAACACGGTCTACATCGGGCATCAGGACGCGATGGTGGCGTTTTACCCCAGGCTTCCTGACGACGGAAAGCATTCTTTTGCCCGCCATGAGCTAGAACTGTTTATCTGAGTACAAGTTTTAATTCAACTAACAGCTGTGCTGCGCAATCAGGAGGAGCAGCCAAACGCTGCATGCAATCATTTGGAGCATCTGAGTGACTCCCCACTTTCCTCGGTTCTTCCATTCGGCGCAGCTGTTGGTGTCCATAGAATCCTGGCGTCTATTTTAGCAATCTTGGCAAGAACGGAGCCTCTGCTTCATTGGCATCATGAAACAATCGAGTACATGCAAAACTCGTACAAACTGAGTTCGGTGATTTTTGCGGTGCTCGGCTTCACCAATGTTGGCAGCGATGGCCCCGCTTGGAACCTTTTTGTCTGACGAGGGATGCGAGGTTACGACAGCCAGTGGGAAGCGTTAGGGGTCGCGCGTGAATATGAAGTATCTACCTTGTTTAAACTTAAGGTTCTCACTGCACAACACTAGGGGAGAGCGCAAAAACGGCAGCACTTGCCGTTACAAGTGCCACTGGCTCGCATACACGTTGGCAGAGCAGAGATAAGCGGGGCCAGCTCCATATGCGTATGCCTCTAGAGTGGTAAAGGATTATCAGGAAGCATTTTTAATTTTGCATGCGCGTGTACACAATGGCATGGCATTTGAAATCTAAGCAGGCGTTCAAATCAAATGCGGATCGCGATAATGATGATCGCCGCGATTAGAACGATTAGAAGAAGCACTGTCAGCATGCAGCATCCCATTGAGGTTGCCCTGAGCATCACATGTCCAAATCCAGAGCCATTCATGGTCGCAGGCGTACGCAGATGTTGCTCTCATGACTACATAGGGGTTTAGGGTTCATTTCCTTCGACTCACTGTATAAGAGCGCATGTTTGATTTCCAATAACTAATGTCATATACCCTACGGGATCCTGCGGTCACTCACAAAGCCTCAGGTGTAGCTGTGTGAGGGGAGGGCAGTAACAATAACAGTTATAGTATGGCGGCACCACGGTCTTGTGCCGTGTAGGTATGGCGTAGCAGTGCATCTCACAGTTAGCATCATGTTGGGTGACGGGCGATCTGTTGGTTCCGCTAGTGGCTCCGGAGCAGCTCGGCCCGCGCCCACTGGCTGGGCATCCGCTTCTGTCTTGGGAAGCAGAGCGACGGTGCAGTGGAGCGTTGTGGGGCCAGAAAGAAACCTGAGAAGCAGTACAGTACGGGGGACCAATGCAGGTCAACCACTGAGTTGTTGCAGATATACAATACACTATGTACAATATACAAATATACAATACACACAATGTACAATCTACGCTGATTTTTCAGTACGAACGGAATTGCTACGACCGAAGGGACATTGGGGACAAGTCCACGCAGAACTGCTGTGGAAGGCCATCACTAGGGACACCCAACAGTGCCGTCATACTGCTGACAGGAGTTAGGCTTGACAACTCACGTTCCAACACGGCGGCGTTTTGCCTGGCGTCCGCAGCAGCAATAGCCCAGACAGCAGCACAGGGCGACGGACTCGTCGTTCTCTTCCATGAAGTTTCCACGCACCTCGCGCCGGTTGCAGCAGCCAGTCACAGCGGGGGGGCATCCCATTGCTTCGTATGGTGCACACCAAAATGCCTGGCACCAGTGCTCGACCCTGGGGGCAGACCGAAAAGAGCATACAAAATTCCCTTTAGGTACCTACATGCTAACCACCGGAGAAACTTCGTCACCACAGTACAGTTTCGTGCAAGATCATTCACGAAGGCACTGACTGTGCTGTACAAAACTCAAGAAGCATGATCAGTGCTCCAGACGCACATTCCGGCCCCCAAAGGGTCGTCGAATATAATGTCGAAGTCAACGGGGCCTATCGGCTTTTGTTCTTGGCGGAACCGAGTAATAGCAGTTAAGGCAAGCGCGTCGAGGCTAAGCGTCTCTGGATTGTACAGGGCGTTGTCAGCTGCAGGGGCGTTGATGTCAACGAGTGTAAGCTGCACGCAGCAAGTCGTGGCATTGTGTTCTTTACAAGAAACCCAGAATGACATGCTTTGCAGCATTTCCTCCATTCACGGTCGCAAAAACGTGGATAAAAATGTTTTTGCACCACTGTGAGCAAATGGAAGTATGTGTGGCGATAGCCTAACAAACAATAGAAGCAACATGAGATTGACTATGAATTCTTTGCAGATATTTTTTCATCGTGAATCGGTTGCACCAAGCTCACCTTGACACTGAGAGCAGCCAAGGGTAACCTGACCCGTTTGAGAATTCGCCAGTTAAATGTGGCTGTACGCTTCGAGAAGAAATGTACATCCGTGTCAAAACTTTCGCACGAATCCACCAACTCGAAGTCCGTCATAAACAGTTCAACTCGAACTTTTAGGTCGTTCCGCTCCCCTGAGAGCAGTTCCAGCCGCGATGCAGAAATGGCCACTATATTAAGTCACATTATACCAATTTTCTAAATCATACTAGAGCAGGTAGCTCTGTTGAGACTGCGCTCTTAGAAGGCAACATCCCAGAACCCCCAGTTTCGTCTCCATGTGGTTTCAATCAATCGCTGTGACGTGTTTGACGGTCGTTACCTCTGGCCTCAGCTGGGGATCCGCCCACCTGAAGAGCCTTTGAATACGTTTATATTCTCGATATTCCAAACGATGAAGCGCAGCTCGAATTCCTCCTCAATCCCCAAGTGGGAAAGAGAAAGCTCTTCATACGGATCTGTCTCGCCATGCTACAACGGAAGCAACAACGTAACAGTGCTCGTGACGGCTATCGGCCGCATGAAATCAGATATACATGAGACTTGCCATAGGCTAGAAGCTATTGAAGATATGATGAATCATGGGGGTTGCGGGCATTTGCGCTGCCATACCAAGTCGATAAAGTATCTAAGAGTCCCCTGTGATAAGCCAATATCTCCATCGCCTTCCCCGGTCTGGAGGGATTGAAATTCGATCGGAAAATAGTGCAAAGGGGGGGCGTATGTCGTTTTTCCCGGTCCAACCACAGGGCTGCAGTGCGCAACGGCAATATATGCAGGAGACGACTTTTAACAAGTTAGACTATCTAGCCCGACAAACTGCTGCTACTGGAGCGCCAACCTCCTACTTTGGCATTTGGAGCCACTGGCGACGTACCACATCTTTTGGTATTGAGTAATACGGGAAGCTCGTAATGCTAGCCACCTGCGACAAACCGAACACCATGTGCACAAAAAGTTCATTTACAAGGAAGTGTTAAATGTGCCTGCCGAAAACTAAATGCAAGTGGTTTGCCCTCTTGCATTTAGTTTTCGGCAGGTACGTTTAACACTTCTTTGTGATTGAGGATTTAGCAGCAGCATCGTACCGCTCCTCTAGATCGACTGAAACAATTCCCAATGGGGAATCGCTCTGCAACACATCCCCTTTGTCCATGACAGTTATTTTCAAAATGGCCGATCCAGGAATCATCACGCGGAAGACAAAATGCTCGTAGAAATTCGGATTGCAGTTCCTGCGAAAGTGTGAGAAAAGCTAAATACGTTCTCAGGATGAGTCCAAATTTGTTGATCTGACACGTTCAGGTTGCTGCGGGTGAGCAGTATGGCAAGCTAAGTGATCATACCATCTTTAAACGATGATATCATTGGTGTCGGGAATGGGGAGGGACTAGAGACAGAGACAGCACTTGCAGTTCATCTGTGGTTGGGTGCACTCTCGTTTGCCCACTCGCAGGCTTACCCGTCGAATACTCGTTCCGACACAACAACCTGTTGTCCGAGTTGTAGCTTCAAGTACGGATCGCTCATTCCTATTGCATCAACATTTTGTAGGTTTCGTGCTGTCAAGACGTATACGTGCACCACCACAACTTCTTCCATCCAGCGGTGCATTGGCGGCGCAATCAGCACTGCAGGGCGTGGATAGCCACCAGTGGCATATCCAGATATATCTGAAGTGATACTGGGAGCTTTCCTTCTTCCTGGTTGCTGCAAGGGCTGTATCTGCGTCTCTGTTGAGCTGGTCACCACACCGACCCCTCCGGTATCATAGTGAGCATCGTCATCGTTGAGGGTCTTCTCCATTGAAGTAATGTCTGTCACCCTCACCCACCCCTGAAAAGAACAGCAAGAAGCCTTCAATTGCAAACGTAGCGCCGAGCCCAGTTATCTTTGAGGCCTTCATGGCTGCTTTTGGATTATGTGCAAATTTGCGTTGCCCACTGTCTCACCTTCAGAACGGCCACTCTTTTCTTATCCTCTCCCCAAACCATTGGAAGGGACAAGTTGAGGGTGGGAAGCACGGCGAAGCTGTCGAACCACAGCAGGCTTTGGTTCCGGTCAAAGTAGGTGCTTGTTTTCTTCAGCCGACATACCAACTCACCACGCTGCACGTCAAGTGCATAGCCGAATCCAGCCTTGGGATCATCACAAGCTTCTTTTCTGTATCCTCCACCCTGCAACACTCCAAGCCCACGAGCTCCCAAATGTGCAAAATGCATCCGTTGTGAGATTGGTACTATCACTGGGTATTCGTCGCCTGACTAAAACCTCTAAGGCGCCTCAATCAACCCAGTGGTAGAAAAGCCAGCTGAGGTATGAAACGCACAGCTTCGCGGAGTCTCGCCAGTTCATTCTCGAGCTCGATGATCTCCACTTCGAGTTCCTCCTGGTCTGGCTGCCCTACCTGTGAGACGCGACATACAGAGCAAGCCGTAGCATCAAATAGCATGTGGATGCTCGCTAGGGAAAATTCGGTAACACTGCGGTCTCAGTTCAGACAGGGAGGCAAGCGCAAGAACAAAGGGCTAGCCGGTCGCTTGCCAGTTTGTCTTTGTCACGTCCCCTGAGCTGCATCTTGAGGCATTTTAGCTTCTGTTCCACACACCTGTGCAAAGGGTAACGGTAGCGACAAAAACGCCCCACTAGAAAGACAGCAAGCAGCTGTACAGAGGTTCAGTGGCTACTTCTGATTTATTGATATGGCATGACCAGGGCACAAAAGAAGATGTTAGTTGGTGGGTCGAGTACGCGTGTGTGAAGGAAGATCGTGACAACGTCACTGCCTACATTCTGTGGAAATCCACGAAGCTTTGGGTGATTGTGTCGTAGATGTAGAACGCGTTTTCATGAGGATATCTGGAGAAACAAAAGGAATGCGGCAGGCTACAATGTGAGGGAATGAACAAGAAGCGCTTTTCAGCATTGATATATTCTCCATGAGGTTTCTGCCTGTTCGCTCGAATGCTGATGTAACATGGCAAAGTCCAACCCACCGTATGTCGAGGCTAGGAACGCATATGCGGTGGTATTGCTTGTCAGCTGTAGTTCTGAAGATGAGCAGCAAGTCGCCTGCCCTGCCAAAGCGGCCTTCGCCCCCACTTGATGACGCCGACCAAACTACCACCCCTAACATGACGGAAACAAGCATTCAAGACGTAACAGAATAAAGTAACTGTCTGTTGTGGGGGACAACGGGTGTGCAGTTGCATTAAGGCCTCGTACCACTTCAGCTCCGTGCAAAAGCACTGCACACTGGACATGGTGCAAGAGCTAATGTAAAGCTTTCCCCCTCCTAAGGATATTGCGCTTGATGGGGTTACCAATCCAATGCTTTAAGTTGCATGGTTTGCCATGGCAAATGCATCATGACCGGACTTGCCTTCTTTCCGTGCAAAAATGTTGACCATGTTAAACGTCGGCAATAATTTTCTTGGCAAGTACTTGTTGGCCCCAGAAACTGGGTCGCCGGACTCCGCAGAATCTCCGTACTCAGACCGCATCAGCATCAGCCTCGCTAGCAAGCACGAGCTGAAAAAAACAGCAATACCAATAGCCGCTTCCCTATGGCGTGCAACAGAAAACTGGCAACTCCATGTAGTGGCCCTTTAGTTGCATAACGTATCCCAAAACCCAACGACACTGCTGAATGCGATAGGCATTAAAAGCTTTAGCTTGATTACCTTTCCTCATCCAGGCAAGCTTCATGGCCACGCTTTCGGAGCCATGTACGCGTTGCGTGCCGGACTCGGTCATCCTCTCTGTCTGAACCACCGCAAACACAGCTGGCCTGTTCATCGTCCAGGATGGTTTTGCCCAGATGCAGTCAACCTAAATTTGCATGCAGGAAAACCGAAATTAGGCATCAGGTGGTCACAGGGAGAGATGGGAGGCAATGAACGCTGAGATCGTACTCGCAGCTACTTTGTAGTCGACCTTCGTAAGCTGTTTTTCGTGTTCCTCATCTTCAACACGAAATGTTTTCGAGGTCTCCACACTTCTCTTTTTGGAACGAAGGCGTACACTTCGGCTGTCACCGACGATCCTGCGGCGGGTTTCCTCAAAAAAACGGGCATATTCAGAAGGGGTGGGTCCCGGATCAGCCAGGTCGGCCTGAAGCAAAAACAGCGGGGTTGATATTCAACACGGACAACATTTTATGTTTCGCGAAGAGCATTTCTGCAAGCGAGAATGCATGGTAGCAATGTGGTTGCAATGATGCCGTGATGATCCCGATATACCTGCATGATGGGTTCTACGAAGGGAATGTCCATTTTTTCGCCATAGCCAGCAAAGTAGTCGTCAGCATTCAAAACGTGGGTGTGAACACAGCCCGCCTTGTCGCGGACGAAAAACATGTCATGGTCCGTCAGCATTCGGCCCACTTTGCAGTCAGAGTCATAAATAAGATCTCCTGTATGCTCGCTAAAACATTCTATTAAAACGTCCACATCTGCCGTATTCACAAACGGCAAGTCTGGCATGGCCCTTTGTTCCTGAGTTGCGAAGCGTAAGTTGACAACTGAGACACGAAGCCCACGAATCACCTTCGTCCAAAACCAAGCCGTCAAGGGAGGCGGTAAACCGTCCTAAGCCCACTGCCACACTGCTATCTACTGCTATCCATTTTCATGTTTTCCCTGTGCTGTTAAGAGATCAGTGGGGCTACAGAAGCACATGCCGAGTGACTGTAGCGTTTGTGGATGGCGTGATGACGCTTGGCCACTTACCATCATTCCAACGTCCATCATTGGCGGAGGAAGCCGAGCCAACAGCGGACTCTCAAGCTGCAGTTTCAGGCAGTGCTCTCCTTGTGGCACCTTTACGAATGAATTGAGCGCAAGCGACAGCGTGCCAAGTTCAGACCCATCTCTGTTTACGAGGCGAAAGCAGATATCCGGTAGGATTGCCTTTATGCCGTGCCTGCGCATAATGCGCCCGCTGCCTCGTGTGCTGTAAACACCTTTTGACTCCATCATTTTGTAGAAAACCCCGTCTGTTCCTCCTGCCATTCCGTTTGTGCCATTAAGAGACTTTGTAGATACATGCTGCTGCATTTTTGCCATCTGGTTAGGCAGGTAGGACACTTCTTCCTGAATGTACGGCAAGAACGGTGTGGCAAAGGATGTTATAGACAAACGCGCCCCGACCCACTGGCCAGGAGCAGTGCTTGACTCTGCAAAGGAGAAACGCATAGCCATCCGTTTCACACAGCGTTTTAGGCAAGTTTTGGCCTTACACAAGACAGGAAAGCCTCAAGACAGGGAACATCACCACTGGAGGAGTGAAGCATTCACTCCTCCAGAATCTGCAGTTAGGAGAGAGACCGACAAAGCCAAAAACATAGGAAAGAACTAGTCCCATTGAAAGAAATATTCAGCTCACCAACGTTTCGGCGTATTGGAAGCAAAACCTGACGTGACATTTTCCCCTCTTTCACATCAACTACCTCCGCAAACACCTTTCGACGGGTTTCCTATGGCAGACCATTCCGCAAAACAGTGCTCATTGCTTTCGCTAAGGTGCAACACCAGAATCTCTTAGCCAGGACAGAAAGCGAAGCAACACCTGCAAACAGAGTGCCTACCGGTTCGGTTTCACTGAAGCGCGCCACTACATTGGGGCCTGGGAAATCCGAGGAGCTCAAAGTCAATTGAAGGTCTTTGGCACTGCCTTGCCAGAAAGCAGATACCTGCAGGACGAGCTCCGACCCCGCTTGGTCAGCAGACGAGTTTGCCAAGCACCGGATACCGAGGATGTCAACGTCAAAATGGTATTTCAGCAGCGGGCAGTTGGAAGCTGTCACATGAACGGGGTTGTCCAGCGCGAGCACCGGCCAGGGCGCCACTAGAGAGCTGGCAAGTGATCTCTTGTTTGCAGCTGGTTGGCTTCGAGAGTCAGCAGTCGTGGCTGTAGACAGTCGTTGATTGGGACTTTTGCCAAACCCATTCAGAGCAAACCCAACAGCTGCCAACAGTCGGGGTTTTGCATCCCACTCGATGCTCGTAGCCACGCTCTCTTCCACTGCAGTGAATGCTGCCTGTTCTCTGTTTGCAAGCGCATACCAAACCGCCTGGTGGGCGTAATTAACGTCAGTTACAGATTCCATCAGTTGCTTTCCGTTGGTCAGGCCTCCACGAGGGTGCTCAGAGTCCAACTTCTGCAAAGCCGCTCTGTAGCGCAAGTCTAAATTGGCAGGGGACCACTCTATGACCAGTGCTATCATTTCCTTCGCCACTTCGCCACCTTTTCCAATGTCGATGTCGAAAAGGCGCAGCAAAACAGGGGGAGGCGGCAGCAGCAACTGGTTAAAGGGTGGGAGTCCAGTTGCCAAAGTGACACTTTGCACATTTGTTTGAGGACCAAGATATAAATACACAGGGGCGGCTGTCCGCTGCAAAAAGGCAGGGTTTAAGCTGGTCTTTAGGCAACTCATTTCCCGATCAATATGTTGCTCGTCCACCATTTTAATGAGCTGAGAAGAACCATGAGTACAATAAGCAGCAACAGCAGCGCAATTACACAGCATGGTCTTAGAACGAAGTATTGAAAAAACTAACTTCTGTGATGTTGTAGCAAACGTATTTACAGTTAGCTGCCTATACGTACCTCCCCCTCGACTTCCACGGACCACCAAGGATTTACCAGTGCGTCACTGTCCATGGCCGGCAGACTCCTCGCCTGCAGAATGTCACCATGGAAAAACACCTTTCTGTAAAACGGGGAAGGTCCAATTGCCGAACTTTGAAGAGAACTCCCTGCTCGATGTCCACGACCTGGATTTCTTAGCTGCCCACCAGACTGGCCGTTTTCAGGAGGAAAGCAAAAAAGCGATTCGCTCAGCACCTTCCTTCCTATGTGGCCGCAGCGGCGCTCCCGTGTGTCCACTCCGCAAAACACCGAAACGACTTCTGCTTTGGGGATAGGGTTTTTGGCAACGGACGGCCTATCCATGGCAACGATTCCATAATTCTCCTCCCTGTGCCGCTCACGTAAACATTTTACTTGCAGTCTATGTAGAACGCTAGTGCAATATCACAACTTAGTCTGAAAGGAGAACACGAGTGCAATACCGTTGCGTACAAAGCTAGGGGTTCTCCACCAAGGAATCCAGGTAAGCTTACCAGTCGGCTGCTTCCGTATCGTGCCCTTGGCTGCCGTTGTCAGTGCTGCTTTGGGAGTCACCTGAAGCAGTGGAATCGTAACCTAGAGGAGACGGCGCCCTGCTCAAAACTGCCCGGGCCGAGGCAAGGAGACAAGCAGCAAAAGTTGAAGGGAAACGGCACTCTGGCAGAGGAGTGACTGACTGGTCCCAGTGCATCTGCACACCAAACCACAGCGATGGCACACGAAGACAACAGCGATTCACTACTGCAGTACACAGCATGCCTCATTCGCATGGCCCCAGCACCAGCACGTGGTGCAATCAGGCAGGTAGGGAGTCATGGCGGACCTGGATCCATTTTAGAGGCTCAATGGTTACGCCGTCGTCGGAGGCTGCTGCATCTGTGTTTTGGTCCTGCAGTGTGCTGACTTCCCACGACATCTTTTCACAGTGAGGCACAGCGGGGTGTAGAGAGCCTTGCCCTTCAATTTCTTGTTCTGCACAGAGAAATGGCATTAGCCACTGCAAGCATTTTAAAATGCTTGTTAGAAGATGCGGTTGAATAATTAATCATTCTCGGAAGTGCCATTTGCTTTCCACCATTGTCATTGTTGCAATATATCCCCACGAAATACAACAGGTCCGCAAACCCTCTTTTTTAGGTGCTAAAGCATAAGAGGAACGTCATGCAATCAGGCGAAAAGCTTCAGTCTCACTTGATGGAATTGTTTGCTCCAGTTCCGAGACACTGTCCACTTTGTCGTTGGACAATGCTTCGCTCGGTGGCCAATCGCTCGGGTCCCCTGCAGAGCCATGGCTGTCCAGTGCAGCTTTCGTGCCTACACTCAGAGTAAGCGGGATGCGGCCAAAAATCTTGGGGGGCAGGTGTTCTTCTCCTACTGGAACCAAATATACATAGGCATGCTGTACTTGAGGGAGTAGGAACACTGGCTCAGATTCGCGTAAAACCCATGCGTTCATTAGAGAAAGCGGCAGTTCAGCGAGGTCTCTCCAAACAGGATCTGTCTCGGACGCATCGGACGCCAACTGGCCAGTCACTTTGTCTTTCCCCCCGCCAGCTTCTTTAAACGCCGTCGCCGTGTCGTGTTGCATCTCCGAGCGTGGGGAGGTCCAGTTGTACAATCGCAACACTCCTTTGCTGTCTACGTACCCAGGAAACTCTAGGATATCTGCATTCGCCGGCGGAATTTCAGACATTTCGCGGCACTTTCGGACGCCATTGAGGGTACTTGTGAGTGGCACATGCTTGGCAACCTGACCCTGAGAGAAAAATCCCTTGGCAGGCCCCGCGCCAGGTATTTCGAGCACGCAACCGGGCACCTGAATTAGGAGGCTGACTTCGCGTTCTCTAAATCGCACAAGCAAGCCAATCAACAAATATCCCAATCGCTCATAAGCGTGATCCAATATTTGAATGAAACCCGTGAAGAAAGTGGTCTGCAAGGGCTGCATGCCAACGTATACATTAAAGGAAGGAAGCATCTGCGTGCACGTCTTCACCGACTGTCCCATCCAACGAAGCTCACCTGTATGTGTCTGGCAAGTAGAGTGCCCTGCCGATGGTCACCTGAATGTGTACAGAGGCGCCGCAACGGTCTGGGAAGGGGGGCCAGTCTCTTCGTCGGGTTCGTTTTGTGTCAGCCAGGACACAGAGGCTGCCGCGGTAAGTCGACGGCGGCTCCAAAGCTCCCTTGATCATGGCAGTGTTGTATTCTTCCCTCTCTCCGTTGATGGCTCCTCCAAACATGTGCAACCACGTCGGTCTGTTCAGAGGTATACGGTTCATTTGTGCCATGCCGACGTGCTGTTTAAGTATTCCCGAGCCAAACATAAACGGTGTGTCGGAATCGAACAACTCAAAGGTCAGTCGGCGGCGGCGCCTGCAGCAAGAAGTCATGCCACGGATACATTCGTTGTGCATGTATTACAGAATACAGTATCCATCCATGTGGTGAAGTTGTTCGATCCGTTCTATATTGTGCTTATCTGGGGCGCACCGATCTTTGCAAACTTCAACCGCCATGCATTCCCACTCCACTTCTCTTTGGCGGTTATTCTGGACTGTTGTTGTCCAAGACGACTTCTTGCTCTTGAGGTTGCCAGAATTGATCACCACGAAGGGGTCACAGTCGTTCCACGGCAGGGCATCGTAGTCTACATCTGTCTTGGGCAGAAAGTCCGCATACAAGTGCAGGTACAGGGTCTAGGGTCACAGCAATGCCACAACAGCAACACAAGAAGTCGCGAGTTTTCCAGAACATGAAAACATCAAAACGCCATCTGTATTAATGTCGAAGTCCCATGGTAGAGACTGAATACCGCCAAAATCCAATGCCCAAACAAATCACCATCGAAAGAGGACCCAAAGAGCAAAACTTTGTCATCTCAAAGCTGTCTAGGTGTAAATTGCCGTTAGGGGTTGGCATCTCTTGGGTTGGGTGGGGTTGGCATCTCACCAAGTTGTCCTTGGAAGCTTCACCAGGCTCCGTAGACTCTCCCTGTTTCGTGTCACCCGCAGGAACCGACGCTGCTTTTATTGCCGACCCAAGTGACCTATGAGCACAACCCGTCAGCTTAGCAAAAGGAGTAAAACGGCCTACCATAAGGAAAAAGGGGCCCTCATCCGGACGGATTTACACCAGTGGTCTAACCGACGGACGACTGGAAATATAAGCCGTTCACACGTGGTTGGGAAAGGGGTGATATTATTTACACTGGTGGAGGGAATCGCAGTATGTTGACTTTTCGCAGCGGCTTCTCTCCCTCCGCAAAAATATCAATGTGCATCAGCAGCTGAGTAGAAGTTCACAAACACATCAAAGTACTGGTTACAACCCCACTCAGCAACTGCAGAGAGACAGTTTGCATCTGCCGGGGAAACAGGGAGGAGCCTGCTGTGAGTATGTGGTACCTCTCCGCTCTTAACTCCTGTTTTGCTTGTAAGAATGCATCGACCAGCCCATGCACAGAGGCGGCGCTCGTTGCAGAAATCCCGGATTTCGTCTAGGGGCAACTGCCAGGAGGCGAAAGTTCGGAACCCCTTCTGAGCGCAAGAAGGAAAACGGTTGGAGCTGCGTCCCTCCTGTCGCCCAATCAGCCCAAGAAGGGTGAAGATCAAGCAGGACAAGCTATTGCACTGGTTCTACTGGCAACAAAAGCGAGTGCGCAAACCTGTGTGGAACCCCCCCGGCTTCTTCGTCTCCCTTTTTTCGATCCTGAGCATACAGTTGGCGATAAAAGCTGCAGCAGGCAGGTGAACGCTCTGTGCCTCAATTCGTAGCCAGATCATTGCACTCAGAATTATTACCAGTGGCAGACGGCTGCAAGCCCGTATACTTACGGCCGATATTCGTGTGTACAGTGGATGTGTCTTCATTATCTTGATTGCCCTTCTCTTCTCCGGGCTGGCGGCCGGTCTTTGATTCGAAGTGCACTTTGGAAGGGAATTGACAAAGTTGTTCCTTTGAGCTTTCCACTTGTGGGCACTCTTGGAAAGATTCTCCCCCGGCTGATTCTGCTTTGTCCGTGGGCGCTGGACTGGGGCTCTGGTCTGTCTTGCTGAGGCCACTGAAGTACTCCTTGCGGACCATGTCTAATTCATCCTCCTGGACACAGTGAAAGAGCCTGAGTGAGCTATCAGCAATCAAGCCCCCTAATAGATACGCGTATAGGCTGTTGTACGGGCTACTGAGGTCTGCCAATCAGTGATCAAATGGGTTGCCTGCTTGCTGCAGGAAGTTACAGTGCTGAAAACAAGAGACTGACAGTTGCATCTCGAAGCATCCAATCAACAACGATGCGGAGCTGGACCAAATCCTCTACTGTGACGTCCTTCAAGTGGAAGTCTGTTTGCCAACCCTGCAGGGAGAAAATACAAATCAAACCCCTCGAGCACTGCACACAGCCATATAGAGCTGCTAGTGGAGCACGTGGAAAGGTACGTTCAATACTGGAAAAGGGGGTGTAAGCATTCAGTGTCGAAATGCTGCAGTATACTTGCACATTTTAGTTGCAAAGGGCAAGCAGGTCTTGTGCACGTCTTACCACACCCGGAGGTCCATACAAATAACGCAGGCCGTCAGGTATGCCAGGCTGGCTCACGGCCTTCTGGTTTCCAACGGTTAGCCGGATAGCCGCCATTTTGCCCTCTGAAATGGACGGGTGATCCGTCTGCAACAACAAGTGACACACACAGGTGTTGCATACAAAAGGCAACGGCTACCAGTAGGCACCGTGCTCAAGCAGATCCCTTCAGCGCTTCTTTTAAAAAGAAGGCAACTTCATAATTACTCCCACACGTATTTCGCCGACTGTCTTCAAATGCCAGAAAGTTTGTCATTCACCACTGATACACGAGCGCGTGGCAGATACATGACGGATTTCTGTCTCTTGGGTTGTGGCAACATTCATCATGAGATTACCGCCTACCTGGAGGCAGCAGCATCTGACAGTCATATTCTGCGGGTGTTGTTTGTCGCCAGAGTCATCGCCGAGGCGCCTCGCAAGCTCCACAAGGTCGGGTTGGTCTTCCAGCCTATCCACTACATGATAGAAAACAGTAATTCGGCTGTTAGGGGGCTTAGAAAAGAACGGAGCTGGAACAGAGACTAGAGGAAGTGTTTCCTTCTTGAGCTTCGCTGGGCTCCGCATTATCTTTAGTTGGCACGACCCCAAGAAGTCCCCTTGCATCCCCATATCCTGGTCATAGACGCTGATGTGCAACGTTCCATTTTCCTAATCAGTAAGCAAACCATGTATTCGCACCCCACATTAACACGCCTCCTTCTCCATCAGTGTTTCCTTAGCGTGACACTGCACACATTTGAGTCTCCCTTAACCGACCTTGATTTCCGTTTCAAACGAGTACTCCCATACAGGGTTCAGGGTGTTCATTTGGGGCGGTGAGCAGAAGGAGTGCCCCTCATAGCGAATGCTCACGTAAGGGTCAGAAGCCCCCGTTACGTCGCCTACGGCAGGAACAACAGCGCACTTAACAAATTTGTTGAGGTGCTGTGTTGGAGGAAGACCGTATGCGGTTCATGCTCCCGCAGAGAGCATCATGATATGCGCTCCTGCCTAGTTCGTGCAGACGTGATACACTCCCCACCTGCTGCAAGGTCATTTCCGCAAAGAACACACATACGAAGGAAGAGCGGCCCTTGCTTGGGTGGAGGTGCATTAACAAACTTTTCTTCTGGCTCCGATTCCTTCGTTCCGCAGTTGAAAAGTGTAGGCATTTCAATGCCACGAGATGGTTGCCGCGGCCCACCACCACCCAAAGTGGCCGCTAAAAGCAACGACGTTAAGTCCGCCATTCTCGCCTGGCTCTGCAATCAGAGTTGATGAGGTGTTGCTGCCATAATGTTCCTACTTGTTGTGGAGAAGAGATGCAACGCAAGGTTCCTGTCTTCTTCACAAAGGATGCGATCCTTTTATACCTTGTGTTTCATTACCTCGAACCATTCAGTATGGCTGCAGCTTGTGAAAGGTCTAATTGTCAGACAAGTATTCGTGGGCTTTCCCTGCAAAGGGCATGTCGATCCTCCAGGTGGATAGACAGCCAGAGCCCTACACCATCAATATGCAGTAGTAACCTTGTCTGATAGTAAAGCCTCTGAGTTGATATGTCTTGAAGGCCAGAAATAGTACCTGTTGCTAGAAACCTGAAGAGCCTTCGTCACGTAGACCCTCACTGGACGTGATTGTGGCCAGGCGGTCCACTGGTGATGAACTGGCAGGTATTACTGCTCCCTTTCCTTCGATGAATAGGGAAAAAAGAAGTAAACCTCAAAACACTGAGCACGGGAACCGAGGATAGAACGCGATCAGATGTGTGGAGCCTATGACCTGAATGGTGACGTGACGGTTGGCTGATAGTACTTCCTGCCGATTGTTCTTGTGTGCGAATGTGTTGCTGACAGTGCTTCAGCACTTTACCGTGGAATATCCATATTTTTACATGTACTTTTCGATTTCCATAGGCTCTTTGAAATTCCTGCATCTTTCACCAGCGTTGTTCTGGGGCCCCATTGACACTGCTGCGCTGGGCGCCGTGAAGAGAGGTTTTTGCACTCCTGGAGCCGCATATGACCTGCAATCTATTTGCGTGTCTTTCATGCAATTTAAAATCCCTGAAATGCACCGTAATGAACTACATAACTTGGACTGAGTGCGGCTAAGTACAGTGGACTAACGGCAGTGGACCGGTCCCAACATTTCAACGAAGACTCGGCTGAAATAGAAATGAATCCTTCTTGACCACCTGCATTTGCTTCATCCATGTAACACTGCTATTTTTGACATGGCGATTATGCCTAGTTCGTGTGGAATAGCCGGCAAGTAATGGCTGATGGAGGACGTCAGAAGCACTTCACGAACTGTTGCGCGAGCTCAACAGGATATTCGCAGGGGATCGATTGATGCACTTAATGAAGCACAACATTACACATGTATCATATTCTTTTGCTTTAATTCCCCAAACTATTCACCTGGAGATACGGACCAGAGACAGCTAAAAGCATCTGAATTACCTAATAAAATGCGTTGGCTGAAGAGCAGCTGCAGACTACCTTAGGTTAACCCGTAGTGTAAGGCGTTAGTATTTTATTTTCATGCAGTGCGGATTATAGTTCTACGCTGAGCAGGATTAACGAAGCAGGTCAGCAGAACTTTGACGGGCACAGCGCGAACGCTGGTAACACTGGTGGCCCCATCCTCAACAAAACCAACCGTCACAGTTGCACGATTGTCCGACGGCAGTGAGTAACTGCACTGCACTTTACACACTCTGCTACAGGCGTTGAAGCTTTTCATCGTGCAAGTGGCGTCTAAATCCCTGCCTAGTGTGCATTTGCCAAACGGTAGTTTTTTTCCGCACGTTTGATACGTTTCCTAGCTGCATCCACAAGTTACCACTGTGCACACTTTAAAGCAGAAACGGCCATAACTTACTCACAGTGAACAACTGTTCAGATACTTTCGGTCAAAAATGATTTGTACTATATTGGTCTGGTGCCATGAATGCCAACAATTCCGAAGTTCGTCAGGTTTAGGTATTACGTATTCGTTGCTGCCTCTAGCAAGCGTTCGTGATTCGCCCAGAACAGTGAGTATGTCTGGATATGGAACCGTACTTAGGGTCTTCATCCAGTGTTAATGTACTGTTCTCATGCGATATGATGGGTGAGGCACTATTTTTAACTTATAAACCGTTATTATGAGGAGTGGTGCACTTTTCGTCTTTAATTGCGCATGGCACATGGTGCTTAGAAAACACATAGCAACATTTGCATAGTTTTTTAGTATAGACCGTAACGATGAAGAAAATATTATTCGACCACTATGATCAGTAAAATGCTTAACAGAGCGCATCTATGGTTGAAGGAAATGTAGCGGAAACCCCCTAGATCGGGTATCTCAGTGCGCCTCCCCGCATACAATGTTTGGAGGTGCCGTTCGTACACCGCCGGCTGCTGAGTGTATCGACAGCACATGCAATTAAAAGACGTTGTAGCCGTTCAGATTCATTATTTCTGATCCCTCCGAGATTGCTTGTTATTTATCACTTGACTCCAGACCCCTCCCATTCGTCTTCATCTCTCGAGAAAATGCACTTGTGGATGCAGGCACGGATGGCATTTGACGGCCACATGGCCATGCGCGGCAAACTCCAAGGCCACCTGCAGACAGCGTTGCAGGTCAATTTCAATTGTTCCCTCTTGCAGAAGTAGCGAAATCTCATTTAGAATTTCAGGTGGCATTTTACTTGTCGTTGTGCGGAGCAGCCGCATGCTTTGCCTCAGCTGCGCTCGCAACCTATTGCCCTGAATGTATCAGTAAGCCTATGAATTGACGACATTTTCAATGCACCTGACTCAGCCCATCCTTCAGACTTCGCAAAATTGATGGGAGGCCTTCTCACTGTGGTATGTAAAATGCGCATGCTCCGCTGAAACTCGAAAAATGTTAGTTCAGACTGGACTTTGCGCCGGACTCATGGCATATGCCAGAATTGAAGGAGCTAGCACGGAGAGTAAAATTATCATGCATCCTTGGTGAGTACCAAACCCGCAAAATTTATTGGCTACTGAACATTGGGCTGTTATGCAGGTCGATTAAGGAGCTGGTAGAGGTACGCTGCCACCAAAAACAGCCGAATTTCCCGTGTACACGCCCACGAAAAACAGGTTTCTCTGACTTCCGGAACTGTGACGATTGGGTAAGGCCGATAACAATATATGATCCTTCTATGGAAATGACAAGGTTTTACAGAATTATTGATATCTTGCTTGTAAGTTGCTCAAGGATCCTCCCGCCAGCAACTACATGGCATGATGCCTGTGCAGGCCTACACCTACCACGTGTTACTCTTACTTGATGCTGCCGCTGCGTGCTCTGGAGCAATACTTCTAGCGGATTCTGTGGTATGAACAATAATAGGAACCAAAATGAAAAGTCATGATTCAACCCAATGTCAGGTGTGCTTGAAGAGTGACGCGATCCTCTTTTGGACACTTTCTGCAGCGTGCAGTGGTGAGTTATGAGCCCACTTTGCACAGAGGAGCTAGTAAAAATGAACAGGCTACAGTTGTTCTCATTGGAATCGCCGCATTCCTCGTGATGATTTTCGCCAACATGCCATACAGTAAGAAATGGCCCAACCTACGCCACGTCAACTGGCAGCGATATTGAAAACATCCCGGCAGGTGTCATGGAGTACACAAAGGTTTACGCCGACAACTTCGGGGGAGCAATTGCTTCTGCTGGAAAACACATCAAGGCAAAAGTACAAGGCGCGCAGCGTACCTAAGCCCCAGCAAGTTGGCCAGTGGTGGCCAGGCATGTTTGGCTGGAAAATGCCATCGGGTGCTGACCGCTCACTGTTATTTTGAAGTCGAATGTTTTGTTTCTTCCTCGCATAAATCTGGCATGCGACTTTCCTGTCGCTCAAAAACGTTGTCAATCTCTGCAGGATCTAGAAACTTCCCTGAATTAGTCTTAGACGGGTTTGGTTTGGGCTGAGTCTGAGAGAATGCTTTGCCTTGAATAGGTGCACCAGTTGCAGGGTCTGCGAAGGGGGCCTCCGGAGGTCTGTTGGGAACAGGATCAATAACAACAATGAGCGTCTATAAGAAACAGCTCCGGGAACCAGTGGACTAGCCGAAGTAGACCCACCTGCTTGACGGAGGGACGACAACGACCTCTGGGTTATTTTTCGAATGATCCTTTCCAGGCTCCATCGTACTACACACGTAGTCGCAAGCAGATTGGAACGTGGTGGATCGCTTGCCCGGATGCTTCCAGGCAGTTGAGCGGCGAGCCAACTTACACGAAGATGACTAAATGCACACACCAGAAGAGTCAAATAATACCAAACAAGCACACGAACACACTTCAATATGCTTTACATGGGAATACCGAAAACTGCTGCACATTCAAGCAGCTGCAGATAACCACTTCCTCGCCCTTGAACGGCTTCCTCTGCCCGATTGCATGCATTGATGAAGCTGCCGCATAGAGGAAGAACACACAGGCAACTGGCGCTACCCGTACAACAAAAGTATATTTTAACTCTAAATTACAAAGCCTTTTTTGGGCATTTGAAGTATTAAGTTGTTTTCCTCTTCCAGCGCCTGTCCAAAATGCCGACGGGAAGCCAGGTAAGGAACCGGTTCCCCACTGGAGAAAGGAACATCTGCGAGCTTCGTAGAGCATATTTTAGATCAAGATTAAGTATATCAAACTCCTCCATGCATAAGCCACTACAAACCATCAGGGGATCCAACATTTTCTGGTTGCTCGGTGTGTGGATTTTTGAAATTCTGTGCCGACCAACTCCAGATCACATTAGAGTCCCAATCGCATGCGTGTAGAGGCACCGCTATCCAGATGTACACGGAATATGCTGAAGGAGAACTACCGCAGTATTATTAGCTTTGTTGCTTGGGGTTGCACCCGATATCTGACGCTGCGCCCGGTAGTGGAGTGGGGAAGCAGCATTGAGGGACTGCCTTGTGATTCGTATGCATGCACGTAGCATGCGGGTAACCTATTCTGAAAAATTGGTGTTAGTAAAGTCGATGAAATGGTTAAATTGTGTTTAATAATTGGCAGGTGAGCACGCGTATGGAGGCAACCGCCTTCCTACAGGGAATCAGATGAAGCAGAGGAAGACTGCCGTTTTTGTTTGATGACGTTGCAGGGAGGCAAGAAGAAGCCTTTGAAGGCCCCCAAAAAGGACTCGATTGAGTTTGAAGAAGATAAGGACTTCAAGCAGAAGCAAGCCCAAATAAAGAAGTGCGTCGAGTGTGGTCGTGTATTCGTAGCAGTTTAGACCCTTCTTGTTTGGCCTGTGTCATTTGATAGTGGATTGCCATGCGGTTCTCGATGTTTCAGGGAGGAGGAAGCTGCTAGGAAGGCTTTGTTGGCGAAGGCAGCGGCTAAGAAGAAGTGATGGACAAAGGCGTTGTCTGCAAATGCTTTTTTGATTGGCTTTTGAGTTTTGGAAACAACCTTCAGGCGACTTTCTTTTGTTGAACTTGTCCTGCCCGGCTGTGACAGCTGACATATTTGAATACAGTGTGCAGCTTAGGCGTATCACCAGGAATCAGTATGCTTATGAGCGTGCACCTTCTTGTTTGGCTAGCCAGGGAGCAATATATCACCGTCTTAGTAGTTGCCGCCACCGTGTATGCTGGGGCCAACGCAGGGGTAACGCTGGAGAGTTAGGCAGGGAGAGTTTAACGCCCACAAGTGGTGATCTGCGTTTTCTTTAATCACCAGATAACTTTTGGCAAGCCCCTTCGAATCGGCGAATGCAACTTCAGCCTTTGCTTATGCGACGGGGTTTGTACCAGACCCTTTGAATACAATGTACTGAACATAGAACGAGGAATCAGTATATTTATACGAGAACCTGAGGAAACGCAAACTGAAGCAGTAATGCTAGTACCGACACACACTGTGGGCTCGCAGTGAATTCTCTGCAACGATTGGAATCGTCTGGTTACTCTCTCTCAGCCACTGTACGGGGAGGAAATGTACTTTCGAATTCGTTTGCATATCTTCATGTGCAGTTTACGGCAAGCATAGAGCATACCGTAAGCGAAGCTACAACACGACGGCATAACATACCCATTACCCTTTTAGACGTCTACACTACGTAACATAGACTAAGTATGCTGGTTCGTCAGGGCAGCCGGCAAGCACAACTCGTAAGCAGACTGTCCTAATGTACTTAGCTAAATATCCTGCAGACTATCATGAGCTGCTGAGATGCAGCTTAACAGCTTCATATTCTTTCAGTTCTTATGGACATATACATCGTATATGTTCAAGTAAATCACCGCAACTGATTTCCAGTCGATGTGGGGGCCTTATGTATATTTGCCGCCCCCATTAAAGAGAGCACCGCGAGAAACATAAATCTTGGGAGTCTGTTTCCTCCCTTCACGAGGCATCGTATCATCTGTGCGTTCGTGTTATAACTGTTTACCTATGAGGTGTCCGCCCCGCAACATCGTTTGCAGTGAAACTCGCATTGGGAGACTCGATAAAAGCCGAGCAAAATGGATGCAAATGATGTGTGTTGAATTTGTTCGGTTGGGGGGAGAAAATCTTGAGTGGAGGTAATAAACGGAAGGTGTGCCACGGCAAAGAAGAGGCACCGCGGTGTGGAATAATTAAGATGCATTCATTTGAACTGCAGCTATTCTTTGTACGCTGGCTAGCAGATATTGTTGCATCAATCAAAGAAAACGAAAACACCCGACCAATCCAACCACAATTTTTCCCCCATCCGAAACCCCGCCGAATCTTCGGAAGACAGAAGAGGGGTGGAAATTAAAGGAGGGCTCTCTCATTGGTTGGTCAGTTGATGGGCGTTTGCTTGTTTGCTTCCTCGGCGCTACGAGATACAGCGAAAAATAAACGATGAACTTGCTCAGAAAATAGTATGCGCTGCTGCTCCGTCTCACTGCGTGATGATTGCCGTCGTTGAAATCCAGCAGGATGCACCAACCAACCAATTCAAACAAACAAACAAGAACAGGCCCTCGTCGTGACTTTCGCCTGCGGAGATGAAAATGCATTCACCCTATCCAACTTGCCCACTAACGGCGAGCTCTTGGGGTGGAGATGCAACTGAGTCCAGCTCCTTCACGACTGCAACCATTGATTGAATGAGAAAACAGGTCGACTTTGGCCTGTTTCGCCTTCGCATCCTTCGTTTTGTTAAGATTTTGGTTTTGTATCTTCTCCTTGGAAGAAAACAGACATTCAACTTTACTGAATGTCGCCGCTGTCGGCCCAGTAGTCGTCTTCGTCTGTGATGTCGATAACTGTATCGGCTTCAGGTGTCTCGGCAGTTGCTGCTCCGGTATCTTCTCCTTCGAACTCGACCTGTTCTGCCTCCTGTGCGCCAGCGCCACCTCCGCCGCTAGTGAAGGCTGCAACACCACCACCTACAGCAGCTATGAGCAACACACCACCAACACCTCCTGCCACTGCAGCTGTTGGGAAGCCGCCGCCTTCTTCCTTCTTCTCCTCCTCCTCTTCGGGTTCTGGGCGTTCGTGACCCTCCTCTGGTTTCGGCTGGACGGCAGGAGTTTCGGGGGCAGCCTCAGACTCCTGCTTGCCCTCTTCTTCGGTACCCTCAACAGGCTGCTCAGGTGTCTCCTCAGGCTGAGTCACACCCTCCTCAGGCTTCTCCTCAGGCTCAGTAACCTCCTCCTCAGGTAGCTCCTCCTCAGGCTTCTCCTCAGGCTCAGTTACACTCTCCCCAGGAAGCTCTTCTTCTGGGGGCTGCACTTCGCCTTCTCCTGTTTGCTCGCCTTCCTCGCCACCTGCTTCACCAGTTTCGCCTTCGCCTGTCTCGGTCTCTCCCTCTCCTTCGCCTGTTTCCGTACCGGGGGCTGGAATGGGGTGCAATTCGGTGTCGAAGCAGCTCTCCACTTCTGTGCACTGGCAGGCTGCAGATTCAACGCAGTCAATGCGTTGGCGAGAACGCATGCCCTCCTCTGGAACGCCGCATTCAGTCCACTCGCCGAATGGCGGGCAATCCTCACCTAAACACAAGCACAAACAGAAAGAACCCCGTGTTCCTGTCTCCTCCTCTCTCCCCATTCCTCTCTACCCTTGCTTGCCAGCGACACCAAAGCCAATATTCTAAGCCGGACAGCAACATCATCAAAACTTACTGCCGCAAGTTGCGACCTCGATGACGTCGGGGCATTTCTCGAGACTGCGCTGATGCAAGCCCTCAGCGTTGCATTCAGACCATGCGCCGAACTCGCCGCCTAAATGACACCACACACACAGACAAATGTAACTACAAACAGACCGTCCAAAAGTACCAGCAAGCCCTAACCACTATGCGCATACTAGTGTAGGGTTGATGAGTAAACTCTGGCTGCACGTAATTCAAAGTCGTTCGCGGTTATACTTACAAGTTGTGGCGATGTCTACACTGCATGTTCTGAATTCTTGACGTGTCTGAACAAGACCGTTTTTGCGGATGGTGCACGTTCTCCGCTCCTTCTTCTCCGAGCATTCACTCCAAGGTGTGCAGACAAAGGCGTTGTTCGCCGGCTCGCTGCACTCCTCGTACTCCGTCACGCCGCAAGCGGTGTCCTCACGAACACGCACATTGTCCTCTGAGCCCAGGTGGATGTTGCATTCGCTCCATGGGCCCCACTGACCGCATTGTTTTCCTTCTTCTGAAGGGAAGCAAAACCACAAAACACAGTAAGCACACTATAAGCAACAAAACAAGCGCTCGTCAGCCGCAAGGGTCATATATACAGTATTCCTGATTATATATCATTACGTATACTCACCGGTGGAGCTGACGTCGCACAGTTTGGTTTCCTTCTGCTCGGTTTCTCCGCAGGTGCGCGTCCTGGTGACCATTTGGCCGGCCGTGCAGTTTGCGGGTTCGAAGGGGCCGAATTCTCCTGTGCAGGTACAGTGTCAGCAACACAGCAAATCCCTAATGAAACAAAGCTAAACCATCCACAGCAAATAAAACTTTGTTGTAGAAGATAAGCCGCTTTACTCATGATTACTACAACTCACCGCAGTTCTCTGGAGTCTCTCCGCAAGTGCGCGATTCTTCTGCTTCCATTGTGGCACACTTGCGTGTCTGGTGGCCGTTCGAGCACTCCGTCCAGGGGTTCCATGCAGAGCAGGTGCCTTCTGTTTCGCTGTCTGCGGTTGTGCTGCTGCTGGGAGAGCAGGCCTGCACTTCATTCATGTTGCAGTCAGAGGATGTGCGCGTGCGGAAGTAGCCGCCCTCCTCATTGACTAGACTGCAAGAAGTCCACTCGCTCCACGTGCATCCGTCTGTAACTGGAATGTCAGCTGCGAACACCATCCACCAACAACGCATCTCTCATCGATAATACTCGAACTGAAAGTACTAATGAAGGCTTGTGGCTATGCAGTGCAGGCATTATCTCAGTGTAGCGGATCGCTCTACAGCATTGGGAGGAGATGTCGTTTATATCCTCTGGTTGAGCTAAAACATTTAACTTTGACTGACCTCCGCAGAGACGGACTTCCCTAACGTTGGTGCAGAAGCGTTTGTTTCTGGCCTGGCTGCCGTTAGTGCAAGTTGACCAGGGGGTCCATTCTCCGCAGTCATCCGTGACAGTGCAAATTCTGGATTCGATGATGTCTTCTCTGCCGGCGCACATACGGCGTTGGATGCCGACTCCGTTCTCGTCCTCCTTGCAGGCCGTCCAGGGTCCGAACTCTTTGCATGGACCGGTGCTTTCGGTGCCCTCTTCTTCGGTCGGTTCGCCACTAACTCCGGCTCCTCCTTCGGTGTCAGGCTCAGTCACTTCGCCACCAATGCCGGCTCCTTCTTCCGTACCGGGCTGCACTTCACCACCAACTCCGGCTCCTTCTTCTGTACCGGGCTGCACTTCACCACCAACTCCTGCTCCTTCTTCTGTACCGGGCTGCACTTCACCACCAACTCCGGCTCCTTCTTCCGTGTCAGGCTCAGTCACTTCGCCACCAACTCCGGCTCCTCCTTCTGTGTCAGGCTCAGTCACTTCGCCAGCCTCAGGCTCACTGGGCATAGTGCAACGCTCGAACTCTACCACATCGGGGCAGTTCTCGCGTGCGCGAGTTCTCAGGCCAGGGGATGGGTCGCCGCAGGCGGTCCACTCACCCCAGGCGCCGCATTTCTGCTCGGTCTCTGAAACCACACACAAACCGCAACTCCCCTAGAGATGGAAACGTACACAGGCGCCTTTGGAAAAGAAAAACGAAAGGAGAAAGACAATAGGCTTAACGGGAGGACTCATGAAAATGCAAGGGTTCAACACAAACAAGATAAAGACAGTTTAACAAGAACAAAAACAAAACTAACGGCACACTAACCTTCATCTGGGCATTCGCGGACTTCCTCTGCATCTTCGCATCCGGGTTCTCCGAATCTTTCAGTGCGCCTATGAGACAGGTTATTGTTGGTTCCAGGGCAGGCAGTCCATTCAGTGAACTCTCCGCACTGGGAGAAGTCAGCTGCAGGGCAGGCGCGCATCTCCTTCTTAAGCGGCAGTGCAAGGCAGCTGCGTGTGCTGGTTTTGGCGCCGTCGGTACACTCTGTCCATGCAGTCCAGGCTTCGCAGTGAATCTGTCCGGGGAGCAACACCTTCTCCGTGCATTGCGTGCCATCGCCTTCGAAGCCGCTCTTGCACTCGCACTTGAACGATCCGGGAGTGTTCGTGCAGACGGCGTGGATGTCGCAGCCTGCTGCGTTACCCGCGCACTCGTCGATGTCTTCGCAGGATGTGCCAAGGCCGGTATAGCCGCTGCCACAGACGCAAGTGAAGGAGCCGTCGGTGTTTGTGCAAATGGCATGAGGGTCGCAGTTGTGGCTGCCTGCTGTGCACTCATCGATGTCAACACAGGCTCCTTCGCGCATCTCGTAGCCTGGGTGGCATGTGCAAGTGTAGTTGTCCCCTGCAGGCTCGCAGGTGGCGTGGGCACCGCAGGGAGCGGAGTCGCAGACGCCGACTGTCTTCTCGCAAGCCTTGCCGTCTCCCTGGTATCCCTCCATGCATTCGCAGGAGTAGCTGCCGTCTGTATTTGTGCAGATTGCGTGCTCGCTGCATCCATGCACGCCAGCCTCGCACTCGTCAACGTCCACACAGTCCTCTCCTGCAGCCTTGTAGCCGTTCTTGCACTCGCATTGGTAGGAACCCTCTGTGTCCTTACAGAAGCTTCGCTCGTTGCAGTTTGCAGTTCCCGCCGCGCACTCGTCGACGTCTGCACACACAAAAGCAAAACAGAAACAAGGAAACTTGTACACTCTCTATGAGCAATGGCCTGGGATGTCAATGAACAGAAAAGATGATGAAACAAGTAATCTGCTGGTGTTTGGCCTTCTCTTACTTTCGCATGTGCTTCCGTCAGCTGCAAGGCTGAATCCGGTCTTGCAGCCGCAGGTGTAGGACCCTGTGGTGTTTTGGCATACACCCTTGTGTGTATCGCATGTGTTTTTGGCTGGGTCTGCGCATTCGTCGATGTCTGCGCAGGTGTGTCCGTCGCCCTCGAATCCGGCATTGCAGCGGCACTCGAAGCTGCCTTCGGTGTTGACGCAAGTGGCATTCGGGTCACAGGTGTGCTGTGCTGTTGCGCATTCGTCGACATCATTGCAGGTGTGGCCATCGCCTTCGAAGCCGCTGGCGCACGAGCAGGTGAAGGAACCGACGGTGTTGGAGCAGACGCCTCCGGTGGCAGCGCAGGTGTTCAGCTTTCCGTCGAGACATTCGTCAACATCTTGGCAAACGGAGCGGCGTTGAATGAATCCAGCAGCGCACTCGCAAGTGAATGATCCTGGTGTGTCGACGCAAACACCGCCTTCGCCGAAGTCCTTGCAGGGTTCGCCTCTCTCGCACTCATTGATGTTCTGGCAACCATCTTCGCCTTCTCCGCTGCCTTCATAGCCTTCCTTGCAAGTGCAGATGGCCTCGGTGCCGGCATCGTTTTCGCGGCATGTGGCGTTTGCGTTGCATCCCTTCTCCTTGCAGAAGTCGATCTTCACACAAGCTCCATCAGTGCGGCGGTACCCAGCAACACAGTCGAAGTCGTAGCTGCCTTCAGTGTTGACGCAGGTGGAGTTCGGTGGCAGCACGACTGCTCCTGTCTCGCACTCGTTGATGTCACGGCAGGTGCGTTCATCAGCGCGCTCGAATCCCTCAACGCAGTCGCACTGGAAGGATCCGGGTGTGTTCTTGCAAGTTGTGTGTTCGCCGCAGGTGCCCTGTGCAGTGCATTCGTTGATGTCTGCGCAGCTGTGGCCGTCACCTTGGTAGCCTGGCTTGCAAGCGCATTCGTAGCTGCCTTCAGTGTTTGTGCAAATGCCTCCGTCGGCTGGCTTGGCACATGTGTTCTTCGAAGCGTCGCTGCACTCGTCGACGTCCACGCAAACCAGTGCTGGGGTTCCCTGCTGCTGCTGTTCAGCTGATGCAACGAAGCCCTCACGGCATGCGCATTGGTAGCTTCCTGCGGTGTTTGTGCAGACAGCGTTGCTTCCGCAGATGTTTTCTTCTGCGCACTCATCAATGTCTTGGCAGCCTGCCTCGCCATGGCCGTCTCCAGCGTACCCTGTTATACAGGTGCACTTGAAAGTGGTGTTGTCCTCGCTCTCAGAGCACTCGGCATGCACATTGCAGTCGTGCTGTCCAGCACCGCAGAAGTCGATGTCCTCGCACTTGTGGCCGTCACCTTCGAAGCCGGGGTTGCACTGGCATGTGAATGACCCATCGGTATTGGTGCAGGTGGCGTGGTTCGAGCAAGTGTGTGTGCCTGTCGCGCATTCGTCGATGTCGACGCACGTCTTTGCGTCTGCGCGTTCATAGCCTTCACGGCAGTTGCACTCGAAAGCACCAACGGTGTTGCTGCAGATGGTGTTTGCACCACAGTCATCTGCCTCAGTTGAGCACTCGTCAATGTCTTCGCACTCCACACCGCTGCCAGTGAATCCACTGTTGCATTGGCAGGTGAAGCTTCCGGGGGTGTTGCTGCAGGTGGCGGAAGGGTGGCAGTTGTGGGTTCCCTCAGCGCACTCGTCGATCTCAGTGCATGAGTTTCCATCCTGCCTGTACCCCTCTTTGCACTTGCAGGTGTACGAGCCGACAGTGTTCTCGCAGATGCCTCCCTGCTCGGCAGGAGCACAGTCATTCTGACCTGCACACTCGTCAATGTCGTTGCAGTGGCCTTCAGCAGTGCCGTCGCCGCTGTAGCCTGGCAGGCAGGTGCAGATCGCCGCTGTGCCTTCTTCATTCTCCTTGCAGGAGGCCAGCGAGTTGCATGCGCCGCGGGCGCAGAAGTCGATCTTGATGCACTCGCCGTTCACCAATTCGTATCCAGCCTTCGCCTCAAGGGAGTAGCTGCCATCATTGTTCACGCAAAGACAGTTGTCAGGGATCTTGGTGTTCGCATCCTTGCACTCGTCAATGTCGCTGCATGCGTTGTCTTGCATGTTGCCATAGCCAGCCTTGCACTCGCACTCGTAGCTGCCAATTGTGTTCTGGCAGTGAGTGTTGTCACCGCAAGGAGATGTCGCCGCAGCGCACTCATCGACGTCGCTGCAGGTCTTTCCGTCGCCGACGAAGCCCTCAAGACACTTGCACTCGTAGCTGCCGTCCGTGTTCAGACACTGTGCTGACACGTGGCACCCAGCTGCACCGGTGGCGCACTCGTCGATATCTTTGCATGCATGCCCGTCGGTTGAAGCTGGCTCGTAGCCGGAGTTGCAGGTGCATACATACGAGCCCTCAGTGTTGCTGCAGGAGGCGTGAGGGTCGCAGGGGGACTGCTCCGCCGCGCACTCGTCGATGTCGGTACACCCGTTGGGACCGATGCCGTCGCCAGAGAAACCGGGCTTGCATTCGCAAGTGTAGGATCCCTCGGTGTTGGTGCAGTTTGCGTTTCTGTTGCAGTTGTTTGTGGGCTTCTCGTTCGAGCACTCGTTCACGTCCACGCACGGGCTCTCGCGAGTGCCGGCGCCTTCATATCCCGCATCGCAGATGCACTTGAAAGATGTGAGGGTGTTCACGCAAGTGGAGTGGGCTCCGCATGTATTGAGTGAGGGGTCTGCGCAGAAGTCGATCTTGGAGCAGGGAGAGTCATGGGTTCCCTGGCCGCTGTACCCTTCGGGGCAGCTGCAGGTGAAGGAGCCGTCGGTGTCTGTGCAGATAGCGTTGGCCGAGCAGGCGTTGGGGTTGGCGCATTCGTCAATGTTCTTGCAAGGGCTGTCTGCAGTTGCATTTCCGCTGTACCCAGTGTCGCAGCGGCACTCGTAGCTGCCAGCTGTATTCAAACAAGTGGAGTGAGCGGGGCAGGTGTGCTCTCCGTTGGTGCATTCATCGACGTCATGACACTGTCCGTCCTCTCCCTTGACGTATCCCTGGTTGCAGTCGCACTTATAAGAGCCCTTGGTGTTGATGCATGTGGAGTGTGCCGGGCACTGGTGGGTGTTGGATGCGCACTCGTCGACCTCAACGCAAGGCTTCTTGCTGCTGCCTGCTCCGGAATCTGCGTCCCAGCCTGCCTTGCACTGGCATTTGGCGTCATTGCCGTCTGGGGTGCAGATGGCGTTGCTGTCGCAAGGTGCAGGGGTATCTTCGCAGGGGTTGAAGGCCTCGCAGGTCTTCCCATTGCCGCGGAAACCAGGCTTGCATTCGCAGGATGCACCAATGGGATCGCAAGTGGCGTTTACAGAGCAGCTGCTGCAATCAAAGGCTCCGCACACCCGCACCTCTTTGCGGTCTGGGCAGTTTTGACGGTAACGCGTGTGGGTACCCCCGCGTACGCAGTCTCCATTCATAGGGGGATCCCATTCCACGAACTCGCCGCCTGCGCACAGTAATACAAATCCATACACGGGTTTATACTACCAGTGCACGAATTATTATCACCAAATGCAATACAACTGTTCAAGAATAAACAGTGTGTGAACGAACAGTTGGAGACCACCTGTGCTCAGAGTGTATAGAATAAACAAGAAAATAATTTGTTATCCGTTTGCACGAGCATTCACAGGCAAGTACGTATACAAGACGTATGTTATGTTGTAGGCTGGTTCGAGCATTTGTATTGAGCCAGAATGGGCTCAGTTCATTTAGTTCACTCAGTTCACTTGGACAGCCATGTATTGCATCGTGCATGTTCATCGACGTTAAGGTTGTGTGTGCAGTGGTTCAATTTTGTTGACAATCTGCATGCTCCCCCCAACCCTTAGTTGTATATCAATAGCATACATTTCTCGATCTCTGCGTCGTCCATGTTGCACTCGCGGACTTCGACGGGTCCGCACTTTGAGTTGTATCTTTCCTGGACGCGGTTGGTGTCGCACATTGTCCAGGGGGTCCATTGATCGTTGCATTCTAGAAGTACAGGCCTGCATGCCCTCACTTCCTGCACCTCTGGGCAGCCCTCCCTGTTGCGGGTTTGAAACTGTCCCACCACACACGACATATCGCCGGGAGACCAAGGAGTCCAGTTGCCACCTGCACGCAACCGCCAACCACAACAGAAGGCACCACTTGAACTGGACGCGAATGCATAAATAAATAATCAGCAAAAATCGGCTTTTCTTGAGGGATTATAAAGATCAGCCACCACAATCGGAGGCATTCAGCTGTCGCCACTTTCCATAGAGCAGCGTACAAGGAAAACAACTTACATCCTGTCAGCTTCTGGCATTCCTCAACCTCCACCCATGTCTCGCACTGTGCATTGTGCCTCTCCCGCAGACCAGTTTGCGGGTTGCAGGTAGTCCAGGGTGTCCACCCAGATTCGCACTTGCTCAATTCATTGTTAACTTCGGCGCCTGCAGACACAGCAAAGAGCAGAGAAGTGGCGGTAGGCTGAAGACCTCCTGTGCCGTTTGCTTCTTGTTTCAAAAACCCATAATATGACAGACTGGCGCTGCTACCACCACTGCAACATGTAGTTTAAGTAGCAGAGCGTGGCGCCACTCCCTACGACCATCGCTAGATACATGAATGCACGCAAGTCATACATCCGCCACTGCACCGATGCAGCTGAAGTGGCAAAATGCATTAATTTGCATAAAGTGGAAGCGTAAAACAGCTTCTGTATGGGCGCAAGCAAACAGAAGGAGCGCAGTGCTTCTCACGGCTCGGTCGTCCCATAGGCGACCCGGGGAGGGAACGAGCACTGAGCCACCAGGGCGAAGGTCAGCTTTAGAGGCTGAACTTGGCATAAAGTGTTTGAAGCAGCTTAAATGTAAGGTTTTTATGAGGTTTAGACTTACTGGCGATTCCTGTTCCGCCATAGAGTGCAGCGAGGGCTGCACAAAGCGCCCACCGCGGGTTGCGATGCAGCATATTGTCGCCGCTGAAACGGCTGCGTTTAAAGTTGAGTTCGAGCTACACTGTAGCAGCTCTTCTCATGAACAAACTGAAGAAAAATGACCATGTGGCACATGGGCCAAGGTGGGGAACGACGCTGTGAAAGGCAGTAGTGAGCTGGCTGCGCCCTGCACCCGCGGAGAGCTGCAAGGGCCAGAAAATCGAGCTAAAGAAGCTCGAAGAAGAAAAAGGAAGAAGAAATGTTGAGATCACTCAAAGGAGAAGAGTCCCACTTTAGGGATGCAGAAGTTGTGAGGACGTCGGTAGATCCAACTCGATATCGCCCAAGCTAGCTACAGCGTATGTCGTGTGTGCGGCCAGCTGTGCGGCGAGCACCGTCAGCCTCCGACGCGCTTGCTTATTGTAGCCAGTCTCTCCGAATTCTTCTCAGGAAAGCAAAACGGTCTGAATATGCATTTTAAAAAAGTACAAAAAAAATACATTTTCTCCCTGCTTCGTTCAAACCCAAGTGTAAAGGTGGTTCATCGACGATCGCTTATGTACGCCGCCCTCAGTTGCCCTCGCTGTAGTGCTCACTTCTGCGTGTTTTCCCCTAAGAGGAAGAAAATTTTTATCAGATATATTTCACAAGTCATAAATTAAAATGCTTTCCTTCTGACCGCTGCGATTTCAGCACGCGCTTTGCATGGCCGTCAGTGCAGTTGTCGCCGTACCGGTCCGCTAGATGAGTGAGTTGTCTCGTGCCAAACTGCAGAAAAAAAGTAACTCGTGGATTTATACCACGTCTTCGACCAATAATCAGCTTTCCTTGAATTGCCAACAACTACTAGAATGCTTAAGAAGCTTCCCGCTCCGCTATATATTCCGTCGCTCTCGTATCATGGCGTCTCCCTGCGCTGCTCACCAGACGATATTTTTGTCGCTTTCACCTCAAATTCGGCCTTAAACTTATTCTTCTAGATAACTTGTATTTTAGCCTACACACGACTATCACGTTTCACCGACTTTTTTTACCGTTAACCATCTCTGATGCGTGGCTGACTCAGTGGGATCGCCCACTGTCCCAGGTCGGCATCTACATTTACTTGGTCCTAAGTTGGCTGCTGTGCAACAATTAGTTGCTTATATTGCCAGCAAAATGTATTGCTTACATTGCCAGTTAATAATTAAAGTCGATTCCTGTCCCCTTCATATATGGAAGCCTGGGGGGTTGAATTGCAGGAAGGTGCGCCAGTGTTCACTGGCAGCTTTTTCCTTTCACCAGGCCTAACCCGGCTGACATCGTGAATATTCACAGTATTTTACAACCTCCGATACCCACTTCCCAATATCAGGTATTTTCGCTACCCTATGTGGCACACGTGGCTCCGGCGCAGCTGACAGAACCCCAGGACCGACCATTGCAAGAGCGCTATAATGTAACAATGATTCCCAGTGATGTAGGCATTATCCCCGGAGCCCTAGCCGAAAATTCAGCTTTTTCTTCTCCTCGAGTGCTGGAGAAAACTTACGGCAGTTACTTAGCCCGGACGACTTAGTCTTAGTGCACATCACTCCCTCCGAGGCTCTCTGCAGGGTGTACGGCCAGCAACATCTCCATGCAGTTGCTAGAGACGCGTTGGCCTGCACCTTTCGTCTGCCTCAACCGAGGGGATGTACAATACACCATCAAATTGGCGCTGGTTTTCTGTAAATCATGGAATTATTGCAATTTCTTCTAACTCTCCTCAATATCATTGCGACGAGGAGCCGGTTGAGGTGATTGAACTATCGGAAGCTAAGGTAGCGGTGAGCGAAGATAACGGAAAACTGTCACTACTGAGTCAAATCGCCATGAAGCCGCCACTTCAAGTGGCTTCGTCAATGGGACTAAGCAATTCTCCTCAAAAGCATGATTGGCCCAGGGGGGGGCAACTTCAGGAATGGATGTCCAGCGGTGCATGAATGGAGGGGGGACCCCCAGAATCTTTTGCTAGTTCTGTCTCGTGGGCAGGATAGTTGATGTATTTGTTTTAAGGCGCTCCCTGTGATATTGGCACCCCCTCTTCAACCTACGGCTACCTCAGAGTTGCGGTACCACTCTTATTTGGTTCATATTGAGTTTTGAGAATTACATCCAGCGTTCGTGAATGCACCAAAGACACCAAAGGCAGCTTGTGCAGAATTTTATGTGGTGCTGCGTGTAGCGGCGTTTGCCTGTGGTGCTGGCAGAGGTACCAGAGAAGAACATAAATTATAGCACTGTTGCCTCATGCCTGAGTCTGTTTGGGTATAAAACCACTGCTCAGTGTCTCCTATGCGCGTGGAATGACGACGCCGCTGCCACTGCTGTTTCTTTCAATAACGGCCTCACTATGCTCGATGCGTGTATTTAGTTGGTGCATGCGGATTTGCTCTGAAAGCACTTAACCTTATGTGCTTCTGAAGCATATGCCGCCACCTCAAAAGGTCCACTGGCACCCTGGCTCCTGTGTCCAAGGAGACTATTTCTGCCAAGATATTCGTCAGCCTTAGCTGAGGACTGTCGTCAGCTGTAGTAGTGCAAACCAGGGGGAGTAGCAATGTAAAACATCTAGTGAAAGCATTCTTTAAATAGCTGATATTTGCCCTCGCCTCAGATATATGCATATGTGTTTAGACCCCTCAAGTTCCCACCCCAAATATTGCTGGAGAAAACACATGTTCAGTGCCAGCACGTATAGGAGGGCATTTTTCCGTAGTGTAGGCATATGAGGGACAATGTGCATTTTTGAGAGAAAGCAGAAATAATTCAGTCTTTCCAACGGTAAAGGGTTCGCTTAGCTGCGCTGTGCTGCCCCCCTCTTCGATGTTCCTCGCTGCATGCGTGCCTAACACCTCTTCAGAGGAACAGGGGCAGAAAGGAAGATAACCAGCAAACTGGAATACCACGGACAATGGTGAAAAGACACATATTTCTCTAGAAATCATCAATACTACATGTTGGAAGAACACTGTGGTTAGCCTCGAATGCAGGTCGAAGGGGAGGCAGTGAGCCTGTTTAATCCTTCCGTACATATTCACATAAACTCGTAAGGGTGTGGAGTAGAAGGTGTGTGGAGGCTAGGGAGTACTGACAGCCTCGTGGTAGTAGTGGCTGATACCGCAGGGTCCAGTACTGGCTGCCACTTGGATGGTCTGCTGGTTGCAGGTGAGGTCAGATGTAAGGGTGAATTCTGCAGAAACTGAAATACAAGAAATAAATGCATGTACAGAAACACAGTTGTGCTCTGGAGACAGCCGATGCGCTTTGATGCACGTTGAACAACGACTCCGCTGCATGGCAGCGGAGTTGGCTATGAGACGTCATCAAAGGGTTTTAATACAATTAATTGCTGCTCCTTAAGTGTAGGAGATGCGTATGTCCGTTTGAAGAAGTCAAGTAATTCATCTATCTTAAAAAGGCGACGCGATTGCGAAGAGAAGCACTACCTTCATTCGAACTCAGGCGCTGTGTGGACGGACTGTGCAGCAGCAGCAGCAGCAGCAGCAGCAGCAGCTCCGCACACACAGCAGCGTTCCCTAGAAGTGGAAAGCGGTTGCTGTGGAAGCTGTTGAATTTAATCCAGAAGAATTTCTTGTGGTTTGCACTGCGCCTTTAAATTTCTTCTTTCAAGTTGAACGCTCACGCCGCGCTCGCCACAGCACTGGTCTGTGGTTTGTGCTTGCGAATTCCAGGTGGAGGCGTCCGGCGGGCGGGCTTCCTCTGATTTGTTTGTATCTTTTTCTTCCTTTGTTTCTTTCTTCTTCCACAGTGAAATATAGAGAAAATGGCAACTGGAGTGGATGACGTGTTCTCCAGTGACACCAACCAGCACTGGGAGATGAAGCGAAAGGCTTCCTTCTCAAAGCTGACAGGCGCAGTGCCGCGAACCATCCCCGGTATGTATAACGTTGTGGAGGACCCGCATGCAGACGACAAGAAAGAGAAACTATGGAAACTCATGGAAACATACTTGCCCTCCGACGTGCACTCCATTCAGAGAAGCATAGTCAACCATGTGGTAAGCTACGCAAGCAAACACCGCCAAGGTGTACGAACACCCGGAACGTTTGGAATAAGTTTCTGTTTACCGCCGTCTTGAAACGGGCATGTTTCAATAACTAGAGGGGTTTCCTTGCTGCTTTCTGTTCCTGCTTTCCCCTTAGGAGTATACACTTGCAAAAACCCGGTTCAACTTGGACCCGGAGTCGTGCTACAGGGCTGCCGCCTTCTCTGTTCGCGACCGTCTCATTGAAACTCTGAATGACACAAACGCTTTCTTCCATGAGAAGGACGTGAAGAGGGCCTACTACCTGTCATTAGAGTTTCTGTTGGGCCGTGGTCAGTATTCTTTCTGTCCTATCATCTTTAATTTCTCTGGCTTCGTGGGGCAGACATCCGTATTGAGGAGCCTCACACAACGTCATTATTGCAGCAGATCGACAGACAGCAACACCGGCGCATTTAAAATGGTGCATTTGTTTAGTGGATTCGGCATGATCTAGGGTTTAAGGTTTAGGGTTTAGGGTTTAGGGTTTAGTGTATATTTCGTGTTTTTTTTTTTTTTTTTTTTTTTCCTGCAGCATTA